GAACAGAAGAAAAAATGATAGTCTTTGGGACTTGGAAAGATGAATTGACATAACATTGAATGATAGAAAACTCTTGGTTTTGTAATGGTATACATGTGGTTATTTGTATGAAAATAAAAAAAAAACTTATTTTTTTTTAAAATTGTATTTGTATGCATATTGTGCCTTTCTGATCCAAATAAGAGAAGGTTGAATCCAACAAAATGAAACTTAATGTGGAGAAAAGTAAGATTTCACACCTGGGCAGGAAAAACAGATTACAGGAAACCTGGCTCAAAATCAGTAATTGTGAGAGGGACCTTGGGAGTCCGAATGGATGATCACTTAAACGTGAGTCACGTATGTGCAGCAGCAGCAGCCAAAATAGCTAATGCAATCCTTGATTGTGTAAACAGAGGCATAGAATCAAAATCATGTGAAGTATTAGTCTTGTTTTATAAATCTTCCTTACAGTGAAGACAATTAAGCAGAGGAACAGCTTTCCTTCAGACAGTGAGGTTGCTTCATCACTGGATATTTTTAAGAAGAAACTGGATAGTCACTTGTCTGAAATAGATCTTATAGGAATATCAATAGATCCTGAAATGGTATAGGATCTCTTGCTTGAGCCAAAAGTAGAGATAGGGGTGCCAGCTGCCGAGGACTTCTACCGGGCTTATGACTTCAGTCACCAGGGCTCTGTCGATTCCTGGATGGACAGAAGGAGAAAGTTATGTCTTTGGGGAGTCTTTAAAAAGAAAAAAAAAATTATTCCGATTCACTCGTGGATCCAAAAGTGAATTAACAAATAGTCATGATTTTCACTTTATAAAGCCACTGCCTTCTTTTTAGCTATTCCACAAAGATCTTTAATGTTCCAAGATGCAAATGGGCTTATTATGAAAAGACAAACAAACCCATAACTGAAATGTTGTTCTTTGTCTGGGTGTCAGCCAGATTAGATCCCTGCTTTAAATTACCAATTACAAAATAGAATATTCTTCAGGGAAGGAGGCTTTCTGCCTGCAGGCATATTCTGGTCTATATTCTGGCAATCTCCCTCTGAAACCCACCAAATCTCCCCCTTCAGCAAGGATCTCAACATGGCCCTGCCAAAGTAGAGAGTGCTTTGGATATTTCCACATTTGAAAAAGTGAAGAAGGGAAGGGAAGCAGGGGCCATTTAGGACATCAGGGGGAAGGAGAGGGAGCACACCAAATGTGTGGCTTTATCTTCCTGATTCTCCCATTTTGACATTTCACATAAGTTGTGACAAAACACAACAGGCTCCCTCCTTTGCTGCCACCCCCATCCTAGCTCCAGCTTCTTAGTTATTCTGAAACATCTGAATGGAGGGGGGAGGGAGGGAGGCCTGTCATCTTGATTAACCCCCCAATTAGGTCAATTAAGCAACATTCCAAAAGTCCCTGGAGATGAGATGGGGGGGGGGGAGATCGCAGGTGGGTCATCCCATGTCAAGTGGCTTGACTTCAGAAAAGAGCCCAGCTCGGCCATCGCAGATTTTGATGAAATTTGGTGTGAATATGCATACAGATCCCCAATGAATATGGGTAAAGTGTTTGTTGGCTGATTCAATATTTGTGGAGATAAAGTCATTTGACCCCCCCATACTGCAGCCTTCTACAGTATGACTCTGAGGGTTCAGCAACTTTGAGACATAATATCTCTGGCAATATTTTGCTGAGAGAAACAAAATTTGGCCATCTTGTACAACGCCTTGTGTTTTATTAAACAAAATAATAAAAAAAACATTCCCATAAGTGATCTCCATCTAAATAAGCTGGAGCAAATTTAGCTGAAAATGAATGTGGCTCGAAAAAAGGTTACAGGTTTATATCTCTGGAAGGAAAGGTATGAAAAAGGTGGGACTTTGTTCGTAATAACTTGGCAGCACGAGGTTTCTGAATTTAAATTTTCATTCTCCTACTGTTTTGCAATAGTTCACAAATTGAGTGTAAAGTTGACGGTTTTCGTAAAAATTCCAAAAGTAGGGTATTTTCAGCCAGCTTTTAGAAAAAAGGCCTTTTAAAAATTCCGTTAAATCATTCTCCATGCTAAGAGTCTGAAGGGGCAGAATTTGGGCCCTTTAGGCCTTGAGTGACACTTGTCTAACCCTCCATTGGTTTGTTTCCTGGACTCTCCAGAGTCTCTTTGGGAGTCAGGAAGTGCCCATTCAACCACTTCCAGTGGGCCAGAGGACCAAGGGACTGCCCACCTGGAGATTCAGCTATGGGGCGGGAGGATAATCTCTGAGCTGCCCTGATGAAGAATNACATATTTAATGATTGGAACCAAAGACACCAAACTCAAGAGACCTATCAAGGTATACCAGGGGCTTGAAACAGACTTACCGGGATTTATGGCCCAAGGGCATGACTGTTCAAAAAATGGTGATTGACCTGCAAATATAATTAACATAAAATAGACCCAGGTATCTTGGAGGAAGATGGAAAAGCGTATGCGGAAGACATTCAGCAAGGTTCTTTGCTTATAAAGTAGTGGTTCTCAATGGTTGTGCTAACTGTTCCCAGCAAGGGGCAACTCCCAGGAAAGGCTTTATAAGGAGGGGCTGTTGTAAAGGTTTTGCTCAGAATGGTCATCTTCTCATAAAAGGATCCACACTCAGGATAAACTACAGTATATAGCAATAGCAATTCCATTGAGACTTATATACCACTCCACAATGTTTTACCACACTCTCTGAGCAATTTACAAAGTCAGCATATTGTCCCCAGCAATCTGGGTCCTCATTTTACCGACCTCAGAAAGAAAGAAGAAGAAAGGAGTGATAAGAGAAAAGAGGAAAAGAAGAGAAGGAGACAGATAACTTTGAAGAGGATATGCTGAATGTTGCAGCAGAGGGTGATAAAAGTTAGGGAAGGAAGAATATACACTCAGAAGAAAAAAGCAGAAGCCCAGAGTTTGGGAGAAAAGGCTCACTAGGAAGAAGTGGAAAGGATAAGGGGGAAAAAAGTGAAGTTGATAGGAGAGAGGAAGAAGGGAAGCATACACATATATACAGGTCATATAGTAATATGAATTATTAGCTAATTGGAGATTTAAAAATTGCTATGTGGAAAATATAAATGAGAGGCATGTGATTTGTTCTTTTACATGATGGTTAAACTGATTCGCTAATTGGTTGAATAACAAGGATGATAATGAAAAGATAATTAAATATAAGTTAAAATATTTGGTATATGGATACTATGCAGATAAATATATGTAGAACCTTTAAGAAGATGAATATAGTGTGGTATATATTGCCTGCCATGATATATAGCTGATTAATGAAATTGTAATAAGCATTGAATAGTAAGGTTTGTAACTAAAAGATAATTAAATGTAAGCTAAGTAAAGATATGGGGGTGGTGGTGGAGGAGGAACTTGAAATATATTTCTAATGAAAAAATACTGAGATTATAAGGAAAGGACTAAAAACCTAGGGCATGTATTTTTGTATAACTATACAATATTATTATGAGAATAGCTGGAAACCAGACCCACACTTTGGCCAAAAAATAAGCTTGGGGGTGGAGGATACAAATATAATTGCTATATATGTATCCTTTTTTAAAAAAATAAGGAGGATATATGTGAAAATTATTCGTATGAAAGATGTTTATTGAAATGAAATTACCAACACCATCAACATTAAATGGCGTCTGCTCAGATGCTGAAATACACCATGCAAATGAAATGAAGAGAGTGGAAGAGAGAAGAGAGACAAGAGAAGGAAGAGAGGGGTTAGGAGAGAGGGTAGAGGTGGGGAAGAGGAGGAGAGAAGGAGTGGAAAGAGGAGAAGGAGAGAGGAAGGGGAAGTAGAGAAGGATGATAGAGGGAAGAAAGGAGTTAGGGAGGAGGAGAGAGGGAGAACAGAAGAAAAAATGATAGTCTTTGGGACTTGGAAAGATGAATTGACATAACATTGAATNAGGATAGAGAGAGAGAAATAGAGAGAGAGAAATACAATAGATAGGTTGTTAAGTGAATCACTGCAGTTTTTAAATTAGTAACACAGTTGTTAAGTGAATCACTGCAATTTTTAAATTAGTAACACGGTTGTTAAGTGAATCAGTGCAGTTTTAAAATTAGTAACAGAGTTGTTAAGTGAATTGTTGCAGTTTTTAAATTAGTTACGTTTGTTAAGTGAATCACTGCAGTGTTTAAATTAGTAACATGGTTGTTAAGTGAATCACTGCCGTTTTTAAATTAGTAATGAGGTTGTTAAGTGAATCATTGCAGTTTTTAAATTAGCAATGTGGTTGTTAAGTGAATCACTGCAGTTTTTAAAATTAGTAACGCGGTTGTTAAGTGAATTGTTGCAGGTTTTAAATTATTAACACGGTTGTTAAGTGAACCTGGCTTCCCCATTGACCTTGCTTTTCCAAAGGTCGCAAAAGGGGGTCGCATGAGCCAGGAACACTGTGACTGTCAATAATATGAGTCACTTCCCAAGAGTTTGAATTTTGATCACATGACCATGGGGGGGGGCTGCCACAGTCGTGTGAAAAACGGCCCTAACTCCAGGTAGTCACTAAATGAACTGTTGTAAGTCCAGGACTACCTGCATCCTGGTTTACGGCCACATTACCCTGGATTCTCTAGGCTTACATCTCGTGCAAATCCAATGGTGGGAGTGTTGGCTAAACCATGGTTTGGGGGGGGAGTGAGGGGGTGTTGTGCTAACGCAGGGCTGAGAACCCGTCTGGAATAAGAGATTAGCAGAGTTGGAAGAGACCTTGGAGGTCATCTAGTCCAACCCCCCGCCCAAGCAGGAGAGCCTACATAGCCAGTCTGCCTCCCTCTGAGAGTGAGAGAGTTCCCGCTCTCTCCTCCAGGGGGCGTCCACCTCCAGTCTCTCACCGAAGGTCTCCATCCACCCTCCCCCTCCTTTTTTACCAAGAGCTGGAATGATGGGCCCTGGAGTCCTTCCTGACAGCTGTCTTCCTCCTCCTCCTCCTCTTCCTCCTCCTCCTCCTCCTTGCAGCCCATTTCCTGGTCCAGCGGAAGGATGAGTGCCACTTCCTCAACGGGACGCAGCGGGTGCGATACCTGGCCAGGTACTTCTACGACCGGCAGGAGATCGTCCTCTTCGACAGTGACCGCGGGGAGTTTGTGGCCGTCGCGGAGTTGGGGAAGGCGGTTGTGGACTGGATGTTGCTGCAGGACTGGGAGGACCGAGTGGATTACTTGTGCCGAAACAACTCCCAGGTGTTCAACTACGAGGCGGTCAAGGCGGAGCGTGTGCCCCACAATAATGGAAGAGAAAGAGAGAGAGGAGGAGAGGAGGAAAGGAAGACGGAGAAGGAAGAAAGAAGAAAGGAAAGGAGGGTGGAAGGGGGAGAAAGAGAAGGAGAGAGGGTAGGAAGGGGAAGAGGAGGGGGAGGAGAGGAGAGGTAAGGGAAGAAGGGAAGTTCTATCAAAGCATCCATCCATCTACCCAGTTTCCCCCAAAATAAGCCCTACCTGAAAACGTTGCAACACAGCAGCAGCCATGAGGTGACCATGTTCACCCCCTCCTGCACCTCAAAAATAATGACATCCACCCCCCAAGGCCAAGTGCTTATTTTTGGGTCAAAAGAATATAAGACCCTGTTTTATTTTCCCAGAAACATGGAATCTATTTATATCTATCCATCCGTCCATTATCTCTCTCTCTCTCTCTCTCTCTCTCTCTCTCTCTCTCTCTCTCTCTCTCTCT